TCGGAGCGCTGTGTGCCACCTGTGCCGGCTCCATGGGTCTGTGATAAGGCAGTGGCGGCAGCAGGACATGTGCCCGTCCTCACCCTTCAAGAGCCCTGGAGTTCAAGGGCAAGGGGCTGGCAGGCTCAGTTTCTATAGACTTCACCAGGGTCTTCTGTTCTCGTCTCTGCATCCTCGTCTCTTCTGGCACCTGTCAGATTGGATTAGGACCGACTCCATTGATTGGCCTTGTTCTAATAGAACTACCCCAGGAAAGACACTGCACCTCCAAGTACAGTCAGAATTTTTAACGTGTAAATTTGGGGGCCGGGATACATAGCTCAGCTCCACGTGTGTTATAGGCAGCATGCCTTCTACTCTTTTGTACCTAATAGTCTCTCACATACAGTTTTTGTATTTCTAGATTTATTCTAAGCATCTTTTGTGGTTAGCAATATCTAAAAAAAAAATTTGGGGCTGGAGAGGTGGCTCAGTGGTTAAGAGCACTGCCTGCCCTTCCAGGAGACCCAGGTTCAGTTCTCAGCACCCACAGGGCAGCTCACACCTGTCTATAACTCCAGTTCTAGGGAATCTGACACCCTCGCGCATATAAAATAAAACTTAAAAAGAAAACAGGCAAAAGAGGAGTTAACGTTGACCCCTTTAAGTGCATTCATTTCAGAATAGAGTGTAACCCCTGCTATGTAGCCCCCTGCCGATCACCTTCAGGGCCTTTCACCTTCTACACGGACCCTGAATCCACTACATAACAACTCCTCATCCTACCCCTCGGTAACCTGTCTGTCTATACGAATCACCCCATGCATGCTCTTCTGTGACTGGCTTACTTCACTTGGCCGACCTTATTATATTGTAGATGTATCAGAAGTCTCTTTCTTTTTCAGGGCTGAGTAGTTTTTTTTATTCTACAGATACACCCCTTTTGTTTGTTTAGTTTTTTTTTTTTTTTTTTTGAGACAGGGTCTACATATCCCTGGTTGGCCTGGAACTTACTATGTAGAGCAGGCTGGCCTTGAACTCAGAGAGATCTGTCTGTGCCTCCGAGTGCTGGGGTTAAGGGCATGTGCCACCACACCTGTTTGTGTATTTACTGGTCGTCTCTTAGGTTACTAACCTCTTTTAACTACTATGAATTTGTCATTTGTCCAAGTTGTCTCTGTTCCTGCTACGAACAGAGGGGTATGACCATCTCTTCAATTCCTGCTATGAATAGAGGGGATGACCATCTCTTCAAATCTCTGATTTCAGTTCTTTGGGGGTATACATCCATTGCTGGACCATATAGCAATAATTATTATTTAATTGTTATTAACTGATTGGTTGTGTTTGTTTCTATGTACCTGCCACATACACACGCAGGAGTCAGAAAACGACTTTCAGGAAACAGTTCTCTCCTATCATGGGAGTTCAAGAGATGGAGCTCAGGTCGTCAGGCTGGTGACAAGCCCTGTACCCACTGGGCCATCTTGCCGCTCCCAGCTCTGTCTCTGAAGAACATAGGGCTTTCCAGTCAGCTTTGAACCTTTCTTTCTTCCTATAGGATGTAAGATGTCCCCAAACCTCCTAAGCTGTTCCATAATGCTGAGTCTCAAGTCTCCATTTTTTTTTTTCTGAGAATTATTAGTTCTGGATTAAGCAATACTCCAGATGTTTGTATTAAAAAGATAGTGGGTATCTATCATTCCATGGAGATCTGATAAGCTGCTTCTTGCTTAGTGCTGTTTCACATTTCCCCGGCATCCAGGAGGCATCCTGTCCAGATAGTCATCGTCTCTAGCTAGGCTTGGGCAGCCCAATGTGGTAGCCATAGGCTCTGGGACATGTCACAATTCCAGTGATGGCTACACTCCAGCTCACTGTTCCCTTATCAGCTTTTCAGAATGAGCTGATGGTCTTTACAGGCGGTGGTGGCACATGGCCTTTAATCCCAGTACCCGGGAGGCAGAGGGAGGTGGAGGCCAGCCTGGTCTACAAAGTGAGTTCTAGGACGGTTACACAGAGAAAACCTGTTTCAAAAAACCAAGGAAACATAAAAAAAAAACAAAAAACAAAAAAAGTGCACAGGGAATTCTTTTATGCTTAAGCTCCCACAGGGAATTCTTTTATGCTTAAGCTCACTCCGACTGGTTTTTGATATTGGGAGTCATAATCCTTACTTGCACTCTGTACATAGAAATACACATACGATGTGGGTATGAGTGCTGAGGCTTTTACATCCTCGAGGTGTGTGTGGCTGCACACAAACCTTGTAAATGGTTCAGACTCCAAGACTCTAGCTTCTTCCTTTTCCTTCCCCCTTACTTGACTGTCTTATCTGCAGAGGACAGAGGCTACCCCTCCCTCTTCCCCTCAAAGTCCTCTGGCATTTTCCTGGATGAGGAATCCTTCTTAAAGCAAATTGCACAGCACATTAACTGGTTTGGGTCAGTGGTTTATACTGCATTTCAATTACTCCACCTGTGTAACTCAGTCACACTTGTTCTATGTGTGACTGAGTAAAAGTGGCCAAAGTGGGAACTCTTGTGACAGCCTAGCTTGAGTAGGGCTGAGTGTCAACCTCCAGTCCCAGCACGGCATGATCAGACCTCCTGCACCATCAGCTATGAAAAACAAAACCAACCAACCATGAGCAACAGCAACTAGCCAAGGGAAGAGGCATATCCAAATTACTCAGGTGGGCAAATGCTATCTGTTATCAAGTGACAGAGGGACAGTGTGGAAGGGTGGCATGGGCTGGGGTAGCAGGGCCTTCACACCACTGTAAGAAGTTAGGGTGTATCTGAAGGGCAATGGAAAAGCAGTACAGGGATTCATTTAAGCAAGGGATGTGTCTAAAATAGATCCTCCTGGCTACTGTCCAGAAAATGTGAGGTACACGGAGCCAGCAGGATCGTCAGGAATGAACACTGGAAACGGTAGAGGAGGTGTGCACTTCAGATAGCAGGGGAGAAAAAACGGAAGCGTCTCACCATCATTATTTTTACCTTCTAAACAGCCAGTGCCAACAGCAAATCTGTGAATGAAGCTAACGTAAAGACCCTAAAACGCCAGGGAGGAACTTGCTTTGTGTTTCACAGGGCTCTGGACTCAGCACTTTAGGAAATACTTTAATCTAAAGCAGCCTGTTTCTCGCCTCTTCCTTTTGCACGAATCTGGGGAGCGCGATGGGCAAATGACTTTCAACAAGGTGGCCGTCAGTATGTGTGGGAACGTTCAGAGGGAACACCCACCCCTCCTTGTTTAACTTCAAATAAGCACCAAGGTGCTTCGCCAGTCAGTAGCACGTCTCGATTCTCAAATCTGCAACCGTCCTCTGCCCCGATAATCCGAGGCAAAATTCCTTGAGAATAACCCACTTCCTAAAATATATATATATGTATGCATGGGTTGCGTTTCCTCGTCCAAACGGGGCGCTCTGGGTTCCTTCCCGCCTCCGAGATGCTCAGGCCCGGATCGCTGAGCCCGCATTTCCCCCACCCCCCACCCCCCACCCCCCGCACGGCTGCCGCACGCGTTGCACGCGTCCCATAGCAGCTTTTGTGCGGAGCGTTCGCTTCCCGCGGCTTGGGACGCTCGGGCCCACGGCGACGGCGAAGCCTCCTCCATCCTCCCGGGGGTTTCTCCTCCAAGTCAATGCCCGCTTGAAAGTTCTCACAGGCACGCGCACCCCCGCCTCCGGGGCCGACGCCAGCCCACGGGGAAACAGACGCCGTGGAGGTTTCCTCCATTTGTTCTCTTCCCCCCCACCCCGCGCCCTGCACTTGGGGATTTTTTTCCCCCAAGAGCAGCGCCGATCGGCTGCACCCGCCGCCTCCCCCCAACCCCCGGAGGGGGAAAGTTCCTCCATCCGCGCCGCAGCGCTCGCTCCCGGGGCGTGGGACGCGGTCCCACTCCGGGCCCGGGCGACTCGGGCCGCTCTGGCCGGCGCCCGTCTCGAT